TCTAGATCTATCATCCAGCGTCTTTACGGCAATTTTCGTGCGGTATATTATCTTTGCGTTTACCAAGTTTCAATTTCAAGCATCGGTGTTCTTAATCTTACTGTTCTGAGCATCAACGATCTAGATCTAGATCTGAGTGATCTTCCATCATGTCCAAGTACTAGATCTAGATCTAGGAAATCCGAAATGTTACCGAAAACACGTAATTCCATGCGGTACCTCCCCGGAGTCTGTGGGTATCCCAGGAAGTGATGACATCACATTACTAAAATTAGCAGCCAATCAGAAAGATGCGCCTTCTATTTTTAACATGTGCTCTATTCGGACTCGAGTCCGATCATATAATTTAAATAATTTTAATGTACACAGCGGCTACATTCACGGCGCCCTGAATACAGTTTGCGTGCGCTGTTGAGGCTACGTTCAGGGGGAGCGTCCACTGCGGGTTTAGGTCAGCCGGTTTTATTCTGTGACGACAGTGACGTAGATTCTATTTAATATTTTGGCCAGCTTCAACTTCAAGTGTTCCATCCCATGAGATGAAGGAAAACGAAGCACCCTTACAGAAAAAACGCCCACAAATTGTATATATATAGCTAGATATTAAATAAAGTATTTTTACCTTGATTAGGGACCTACACATATAATATTTATGTCCTTTTTGTGGGTTGATTTATTATATGTAGACTCTACAGTAGTCGCAAAATTGTCATTTCATGTTTTTCAGCGCTTGACTCACAATGTGTACATATAGCCTTAAGTGTGTACGAGGCCTATACTGCAGTTGTAGGTCTTGGGATTTTATTCGATGTACACATGACATCATGAATGAATCAATGTAAGTCTGTATCATCGTTGTATTATGGAATTTCTCCCTGCCTCTAAAGTGGCTTTGTAACTGTGCATGCTCATGACATGAATGTGATTTGGACCCTCTGCATTTTGATCATTGCATCATGTTAATGTAAACCAGTCGTATAATTGGCTAGAATCTAAGCTAAAATTTGTCTCAGAATTGTCAGCTCTAACTACACGTATATAGCAAAAGTCAGTCTGAGCAGATTAAATTAGATGAATGTACTATAGTCGAATCTGTGTAAGACGGAATCGCAAGGGAGCAAGAAAAAAATTCCGTCTTAGGGGATTTAGGGGGGAGATGGAGGGAGGCTTCATAGGCCCAGCCAGTAGGACCAAGGTCGCTTGTCCGGTCAGCACGCTGTGGTCAAAAAACTTCATACACCTCTCAACTGCTATCCTGTCTGATAATGACATGCGTCAGTCTTACTTATCCAATTACCACCAGTGCTTGGACTTCATAAGACCACTGTCTGACCTATTAAAAACAGAAACGTTTGAACATCTCCTTAGCTTCCACCCTTAGCCCCACCCATCGGTGTAACAAACACCGTCAGCCAATGCCACCCCTCACTGCCATGTAATCAACAATTCGAGGAACTCTTTCTCGGCTGGCCGTACGATCAGGTCAAACTAATTTCACACCTCTGGTTTCTGGCTACTCAGGAAAGTTTCTGTGGTGGCTCGCTACTCGAGCACTTTCACTGGTACTCGTGAGATTTCACACCCACACCACCCTGACCATCTGCATCGCCCAGGACTCACATAGATGGGGTAACATCTATCCCAAGAAGGTTATACCATAAGGTCCTTGATCTAGCTTCAAAGTGCACCCCTACTCCCCTTCCTCGCCTGGCGGCATGGCGTTAAGTTCAGAGCCAGCGGAACCAAACTTGCGAGGTGTGTTTCAAATCAGGGCTCAGCGGGTAAAGCATTTTCCGTCTTAGACAAGTAAAACCATCGGAAGGGAGCGGCCTTTTTTTTCCATTTCCTCGTTGGACAGGTTTCAGTTTTATACAGGTAATTAAAGAGGAAGATCAAGGGGGGAGCGGAGAGATTCCGTTAAGACAGGTTTCTGTCTTTCCGTAAAGGCAGGTTTGACTGTAGGCCTATTTATTATACAGTAGTATCCGCCTAAGATCCCGGTACTTGGGAGCGAGAAAAATACTGGATTTTACGTTGTTGTTGTTTTCAAATCCCTTTAGCTGCAAGCGTTTCGTTCTTGGCAGTGCTATGCCTCCCTTAAGTAACCACACGTCGTTAGGTAAAAGCACTAATAGTTCACAGTTCACAGTTCACTGTGATCCTCTCTGATGTGAATCTTAGGGCCCTACCCACCCAGCTTGTCATGTAAGTTTAGATGAAGACCGATGTTTGGGGAAAGCAAATGCGATGACTTGGCAAATATTGTATCTTTTCATTGAGATCTACAAGGGAAATGTGATCACTTTCATGCGAGTGGATGATCTATGGTGCAACAGGAATTACACATACGTTTTTATTGCTTGATTGATCAGCTGCGCCCGTGCGGGTTTTGGTTCCGTAAATAATGATCTGAAATCGGGGATCATAGCCGAATGTCATCCTTCAGAATAATATCTTCGGCGTGACTATTGTATAGCTAAAATTATGTTTTCTTAAAACATCTTGATCTTAACCCTTTGAGCCTTGAGCTCCTGAGGTTACCATGCCCCCCTGCCTGAGCTCCTGTGCGATATATGACAGACACAAGATCGCCAGATTCACTTTCCACCCCACTCAGGGTAGTCCTCGTCATTACCAGCACATCTAATTCAGAGAGATCTTCAAATTAATCGACAACATCCTGTGTAGTAAACACAGTTTTCCGTGTGCGTTTTGTCCCATACACGGGCCGGGTTGGAGAGTGTCTTGCTCACTGGTGTACCGGTACTTCTAGGCAGACGGACAGTTTTACGTGCTACTGGCCTACCGGTGGTAAGGGCTCAAGGGAACCGGGATTGTAAGTAATGGGATTTGAGGTGGAGACTCAGACTCAAAAGTAGCAATGTCAGTGGGTGTCGAGGTTGTATTTAAAGTAAAAGAACACCATGTGTTCAGGCATCTCATCAATCACAGCTCACTGTTTCTTGTTCCAATTCAATTTAAAAAAACCTGTGACCCCAACAGTGACCAGAGATGTTGTGCTCTAGGTCATGCAACTTGAAATGGAAGGCTTTACCGTCGGGCATTGATAACTCTAACACATCGAGGATTGACAAATGAGTTTGACACATCCATAATTCGGGTTAACCAATAACCAAAAATGAAAGAGATATCGGTCAGGGAATGGCAAATTGTAAGCTCTCCGTGACTTTGAGCTTTCTGTATTTGTGTTATCTGTACTAGGTAAAACTACTTTGCTTTTACACAAGGCTAGATGTGCTGTCAGAGCAATGATTTGACCTGCAAAAGTTCTGGGTTTTTTTCTCCTACACAGACTGAGGTATCTCATCAGATCGGACTGACTACTGGCTGACGTGTCACGAGACGGAGCTCGCCATGTCCAAGCTGGGACTGCTGCCCATCTCACTGGTGCTGGTGGCAGCGGTGGCTGTTGTGGTCTCCTATGCCATCGCTGTTGCCAATGGTGACGTCAGAGCCGCATTTCCCTACATCAGGTATTGGTTCAACCATTCATCATTGCTGTGTTACAAGGTCTGGGTGAAGACATGTCATGAAAAATATTCACTGATGTTGTTGTTTTTGATTCAGCAGTCCATTAGCACATGGTTGGAGACGCCATTTGTAGGTCTTACTTGGAAAAAGCAACTTGTTTTGGCTTTTCTTTTTTATCGTTGTCATAGTGTTTGGTTGTTGTGTGTGGGGTGATGTTAATTATGAAGATATGGGTTGTTGGAGTGTGTCACTGATAGGTCCCAGTTATCTAGTATTCATCTAGAAATTGACTTGAATTGTTTTGTTTTCATCACAGAAGGACTTTAGACTTAAGATTGATGAAACATTGTTGAGCTGTCTGGATATCTTTGCAACAAGGAAATAATTGAGACCTATTTTTATTTCTACAAAATGATGAAGTTATCACATAGTATGTGGTCAGTAAGTCATATGTCTATTCAAATTATTTTTTTTACAGTGACACCGGCTCAGAACGGCCAGAGAGCGGCATTTTTGGACAGTTGCTGAACGTTGCAGCCTGTCTGGGTATGAGTAAATATATTTATTTCATAGTTATTTCCGAAAGAACTGTATTATAGTGATCAGAGACAATAACACAGACAGTCGAAGTGATCATAATGGAATGATAGACAAAGTTCAAAGTAGAGGTGGGCAAAATCCGGATAAATATCCGGATAATCGGATAATCCTCAATAAGACATTCAAATTCAAACTCTATATAACTCTTTATCCTAACCCGTTTGCCCGAGTGGGTGCAGCCATTTGTTGAAGTTTTGCTAACCTGTAAGTCAAAGTGGTTCTAACCCATTTGCCCAATTGGTTCATAACATATTATTATTATTTACCGAAGAGGTGAACTAACATATTATCCGGATTTTGCTAAAGCGACTCATTGCCCAGCCCTAGTTCAAAGCCAGTTACTTTTATGTAAAAAATTCTAGTGATATTTATATCAAAACAACCGTTACAACAAAGATAGACAAAGACAGGTTCACCTTGACAGCAATGTTGACATCAACTACAACTATGACGGCAATAACTGATGAATAACCAGTGTCATCTCAACAATAATATTGACACGAGCAACAATTTTAATGATGATACACGCTTTGACATCTGTGGTAATAGATGACTACTTCATTGTCACTAGAGCAACCACTCAACTGTCAGCAACTGCAGTAGCACCGTGAGATAGAGCTGATATTTGTCATAATAGTGACTCGGCTGGCTTCTGTAACAGGAAGGGTGATGGAATGGTATTGATGTCAATGACCTCAGATGCAGTAATACACGATGAACCTCACGTCTACCCGTCTTGATTACAACGAGTAATTGTATTGAAAATATTTCTTTTCACTTCAGTTTGTCTCACCAGGACAGGCTGGTCAATTTTACAGGGATTTGAAAAAATTTGTTGTGTGTTTATTGTTATGTGATTTATGGGAGCAGCTTGACTAAAGTGACATCTGTAGTCTAGTGGTTAGGCTACTGGACTCGTAATCGTGAGATTGCTGGTTCAGGATTTTTAGGCTCAGTTTGGTCTGACATTAGAAAGGCTCTTCACATGAACTTTTCCTTTTTGGTGCAGTTCTATCTGATATTGAGAAGGGAGTTAAATTTGGAGGTCCCGATATACAATTTAATTAATTTTTCAACTTAGCTGGCACTCAGCATATTATGACAGCTCATAACAAATTACTGCAAGCTTCAATTTTTTTTCCGTTTTCTTATTTTCTTCCATGTCCTTTTGTTGCCAGATATTTGTATTTTACGTGAAAATTATTACTCTTCCAGAAAAAGCAAATCAGGATAAAGGAAAATTGTTTCGTACGTTGATGATAATGATGATGACAACAACGATTGTGCTCAAATGTTGAGAATGATGTAGAGGATAATCTTGATGTTAGTTTATTTCTTTGTTTAGTGCTTATGCTAATTCCCTACAGTAGGCACCGCTAGTTTCTATCTTGTGCTTAACACTTTGCAGTCACCCACACAGCCAGCAGTACAAAATACCCCATCTGGTCGCCAAGCCAGGAGAGTGACTGCAACAGACTTCTCAGGCTTGGTGCAGAAATGCGGCTGGTGGGCGGAACGGATCATTTTCACCTTTGAATTTTTGCGCCAAGTGTTAATGTATTTTTATATCAATACCGTCACACATGTTAGGACTGCTCACCAAAGATTACCGCATGAATTCTACCTCGTTGTCAATGAATCTATCTCATCTGAATCTGACCAATTCTCTCACGTCACGACAGCTCATCACAAATCACACTCAGTGAAGTGGGTGGTTGGTGGGTACTCTGGTATGGTTTGTTCCTTATTTTCTGTCCTTATTTATGTTGCTGTCAAAAAGTGCGCACATGAGGAATTTGTTTGGTGTTTGTATGAATGCGTTTTTAATCTCCTATGTACGCCTGGGGCCCATGCTGTGGGGAAAGGCGGGATACAATTGCTCTTATTATTATTATTCTTCTTCTTCTATCAAGTATCTATTGTTGCCATCTCTCCTTTTGTGTGTTTGTTACTCTTTTGTTACACCTCTGATAGTCAGCACTTAAATGACCTGATTGTTCTGCGAGTGCCTTAAAACTTTTACTAAAACAAAAAACACTAATTGGTTCTGTTGTGTACACAATGTGTCTGACCAATGCGCTCACCAGTGGGTGGTTGGCGGGTGCTCTGGTGTGGTTTGCTTCTTCTTTCCTATCAAACATCTATCATCCTTTTCTCCCCTCCTTCTTTTTTATCTTTGTTACTCTCTTGTAACACCTCTAATCTTCTGGCGCTCATATGACCTTATGCAGTTGCGAGCGCCGTAAAACCTCCACTAAAACAAAAAACAGCGAGCTCACTCATGTCTATACAGCTCATCACATATCTCTGTCAATGGCCTTGGAGTTAGGCTCTTGGACTCGCAACTGTAAGATTATGGGTTTGATTCCTGTCAGGGGCCTGACGTTGTGTCCTTGGGAAGGGCACTTTACATTAATATTTCTCACTTCACGCGGGTGAGAACATGTACCCAGCTTCAGACAGCAAAACATCTTGTCAGTTTGTTGATGTTTGAGCGCTTGTAATCCACAGCTTGCATTGTATGCTGAGAATGTTTCTGAGTGTGCTAGGGTCCTCTGGGGTAATAATAGTTGTAAAGTGCATAAATACAGCATGTTCTAGAGCATGGATGATGGATATGGGCTGTATAAATTATTATTATTTTGTTGTATTTCAGCATTCTGCACCATGTATGTCCGGTACAAAGCGGTGGCTGCTATTGCAGCTCAGCACGGAGAGGATCGCTGGCTGCGTCGGATGAACACTGGCTCAATGTATGTCGGCCTTGTCTCAGCCTTTGGAGTGTCCATGGTGGCAAACTTCCAGGTACTCAAGCATTTTTTTGTCAGGTTCTTCAAAAAAAAATCACCATGGGTGGTCGGTGGGTGGATACTCTGGTGTGGTTTGCTCCTTCTTTCTTATCAAACATTAATCGTCGTTATCTCTCCTCCTTCGTTTTTGTATTTATTACTCTCTTGTAGCATCTCTAGTTTCAGCACTTATGTGACCTAATTGTGTTGCAAGTGCTGTAAATCTCTTACTAAAATGAAAATTACTGATGAGATACCTTGTCTGGAAAAAAACAAGTGACCCGCCCCAATGTTACCGCTTTCAATTTATTTAGTGTTTTTAATTTTTTTTAGGGCTTGCCCCTTGATGTGCAGTTCAACCCAATTTTTTTATTGGTGTAAAAAATGCGTACATTGTAGACATAACAATACTTACATCACGAACAAATATTATAGACTTAATCATCTTTCATGATCTAGCAATGTATTACGTAATTTAAGAATATATGCCACTGCTTGATTATTACTTCTTTACTATTATATACCTAGCTGTTATTTCTGTATGTTTCAGTTTCTTTTCTTCTGCACTATTGTGTGGATGTGCTTCTCTACCCTCAAAAATAAACTACGCAGCAATATGTGTTGTTTGTTCCAAGTTCTCTGCTGCTGTTTAGTTAATTACAGGTTGTGTGTTTTGGTTTTTATCTGTGGAATCTGTCTTAAAGATGTATTTGTGGGTGGTTGGTGGGTGCTCTGGTGTGGTTTGCTTCTTCTTTCCCATCAAACTTCTATCATCCTTATCTCCCCTTCTTCTTTTTTATATTTGTTACTCTCTTGTAACACCACTAATCCTCTGGCGCTCATATGACCTTATGCTGTTGCTAGTGCTGTAAAACCTCTACTAAAACTAAAAGAGATGTATATGCAGGTAGTTGGAGGCACTGCTGGTAGGCCCTTCTGCTCTCTCCAGCTGGTGTTCCTGTCTGTCAGTCATGCTTTGTTTTACTTGCATTAAGTGACCATTATTGTGTCAGTGTGCTTGTCTTTACTCAAAAGCAAACAAAAATTAGATAAATGGAAAGGGCAATGTTCAAATGTGTCATGATGCTGTGGAATCAGGCTCTAGTCAATTTTTGCGCATACGGAGTTATTGATATAATCTTAAAATATGTTTATGTCTTGCTTTTGATATTAACTCTTTAAAGACGCTTCGGACAGACATGCCCGATCGGCAGCTGACCAAATACAATGTTTTACCAGATTTCTAACTGTCATACCTAAAGCAAAAACACGAGTTTGCATATTTCACAGTATGCATATCGTTGCTTGCCTTTCAAAGTTGCAGATAGAGAAAACACAATCGACAAATCTGTTTGAGTAATGAACTCATGCCCCAAAACAGAGCATCTTCAAGTCTTGTCGTATGACCAGAATGCGCGTCCTGAATGAGTTAAAAAATCGGAACTATCTAGAATAGAAGTAGAGTTTTTTACAATTGAAGGAGGTGAGGTCGCCTGGGGTCAGAGGTCAAATTAATGACTCAAGTTAGGTGACTTCCAGAGCTGTGTAGTGTCTTTGGAAACTGCATCTTTATATTTCTTATGCCTTTGATCAATACTTTCAGTAAAATACACCCAGGAACGTGATTTCAAATGCACATAAAACCAACAAATTGATAAAATTGCTTAGCGGACAGAAAAATGTCTCTTTCTTCAATTTCATTATTTCAACGATGCCACACAAAGGACTGAAAGTTGTTTCTTCTGTTCTGATCTCCCCTGATTCAGGATTGTTCACTGAAGATGCCGTAGACATGTTGAAAGGGCCCTAATGTGTGAATTACTCTTCATTTTCCTGTTAAAATGAATGTCATCATTCTCTCTCTCTCTTCCTCCACCACCACTCCCACCCCCCCAACCACACACCCACACACACACACACACACACACTCA